TTGCTTAAAACTTGCTTATTTTAGATTGCCTATAAAAATGTCTGTATAATGAAATACTATAAGATTTTATTGTATAACTGTTTTTATATGACTATTAACACATATGTTGTGAAATTAGTGCGATAAAATAATTAGGGAAAAAGTGTATTTTCATAGTGTCATCGTAATTTATAAAACATTAAATTTAATTATTTGTAATCTAGTCAGTCATCAAGACCTCGAAGACCCAAAGAAAAAACGTAAGCGATTCTTTAACTCCGTGAAGCGTAACGCACCAAGAGGTGCGCCGTGCAAGCCAAAGAAAAAAGAACCACTGCGCGACCCCTAAAAGGGGCAGGCAGTGCGCGCGCGCTGGGAAGCGGTTCACCATCGTATTGTTATGAACACACAAAGGAACTAACGCCATCTAGCGTCAACTATTAAAACCACTAAAGAACAAAGACGACATAAAACCCCCTATTCAACACTAGATGTCGTTAGAGGAACTGCTGTGGAACTATAGTCTCGAAAACCGGGAACATTCGCGAACTTTCCGGAATCACAAACATGTTCGTGCGTGTCGGGTACGTTCCAGGAATGATCTTTCTGGATTAGTCCGGAACCGGTCTCGGCCCATATAAAAAGCCGCAGGGAGGCGAGCGATGACAGTTCAGTTTGAGCTACCTTCGAGGCGACTTCGGAGCGAAAACTAGTGATCAAGAGCGATACCAGTGAAACCTACGACTTGGCTACAAAAACAGGACATCGTTAGTGCTTAGTGTTTGGACCTAGTGCTTTGTGTTGGACCTAGTGCTATTGAATAAAGTCTTCAAAAGAGTCAGCAGGTCTTTCTCTCCAAATCCTTCGAACCCCTAACACGTAACAGTATGACACGGTGAGAAGCTCCCCCGAGCGCAATGAAGCCCCATTAGAAGTACAGCAAAATCAGACGCAAAGCACGTCTTATGCGACAATCGCTAGAGCCACCACTCCGCCATCGATGCCATCCACATCACAACAACAGCAACCACAACCTGAAGCCACCACGGAGCCTCAAGAAACCACCAAGAAAGGCTACCCTCCAATAGTGGTAGAACATCTACCGGATTGGACCACCCACTTCGCGGAGCTTAAGCGCAAACTGGGACACGCCCCCAATGCACGCACGTTCGGCAAAGGGATGCGCTTTCTCCCACAATCCGCGAATGAATACCGTGTCGTACAAAGACACTTAGCAAATGCCACCGAAGTAAACAGTGCAATCAAATGGCATTGCTATGCTCCCGCTACTGAGCTCCCTACTAAGGTCGGGATTAGAGGGCTCCCTGAAACCACCCCACCGGAGGACATCACAGAAGCCCTAAAAGAGTTAGGCTTCCCGGCGGTATACACCAAATTAATACCGCCGGCTAGAAACCGTACAAGATGCATTTTCTACGTACAGTTAGAACGCATCAACAATAGAGAGGCCGCCAGACTGTATGATATAGTCGAACTACTTAATATGCCTGGCATTACAGTGGAAGGATGGAGAGGTAGAACCGGCCCACCGCAATGCCACAGATGCCAGCAATTTGGACACGCCTCATATAACTGCCACCGACCCGTTGTGTGTGTCAGATGTGCGGACAATCACATTGCGGTAAATTGCCCACTGCCGCTTACAACTCCAGCCAGATGCGCAAACTGTCGCCAGCGACATCCCGCCAATGACAGACGCTGCCCCGCCTTCATAAGGGAGGCAAGAAAAAGGGGTATGAAACTGCATCCACAAAGACCTGAACCCCGAAGAAACGCGCCTACGGAGGACGGTTGGGTGACAATCGGCCGAGAAAGACGCGAACAAGGGACAGACCGAAGGGAGGGGGGAGCTCCCCCCCCCCCCCCCTACCTCGACTACCCCCCCTCCGACCGACCCGGAGCAGACAAGTAGAGGCGCAACCGCATTACAACCCCCTACCGCGGTACGAACCACTGCCGCGGGTATATATAGGGACTTCATGTCAACGGTGCAGCGGATTACTAATATCGCCGACACCGACACGAGAACCAATACGGTAGTTACTACACTACAACCCCCGGCTAACCCGCCCACGCAGCGGATAAGAAGCCACCGACGCAGACGGCGCGGACGAGATGCCCCCGCGACGTCGGCGAGCGACGCACCATCGGTGCCAACACCGGCCACGGAGGCGGAGACGGCAGCGTCAAACCGCCCCAATGAACACCAACTTACATCAGAAGCAATTTCAAAGGACAACATTACGGAAGTGGTGCGCCTACTAATACGCGTCGCAAACGAAGCCATAAACAACATAATAGCAGCAACAACGGCTAGCTTGGCAACCTGGAGTGCGATAAGTCGCACATTAACCTAACTTCTCGCCGGGCATCTCGGCGAACAATGAGGCTACATCGCTTTTCTACGTTAAAATAACGTACACACCGTAGCGCCTATATAGGCCCCAACTACCGGGGAGCCTTAAAGGCCCCCGAGAAGAAGCACGGGTCATGAGGTTAAGCCTCGATACCCGCACCTGCAAGGCCCCACAAGGCCATGTAGAAGACCCGGACGACGACGCTCTCTGATTGGATACCAATACGACAACCAATCAGAGAGCAGGAATTAATTCCCACAGGATCGTATAAATATAGCGGTGTTTCGGGGCATCATCGCCATTCATTCCGCTTCGTGCTTCCACACGGAGCGGACGTTACTCTGAACCGGAGGGCCCATGCCAACCGACCCGGAAGCCATCTTGCAACCGTTGTTGCTAATTTTATTTCTTTTATCTCGAAAAATCAAGCCACCGCCGCCAATTATAATCCAAGAGAAGGCAAAGTGGCATCAAATATGTTCATGGTTCGAACGCCATAACATACGAGACCGCCGGTCCAAGAATACACATATGGGTATCCGCGTATACCTCGATTCTACGGACGATTTCCGCCGCGTACCAAAGTACTTGCGCGAAGCTAAAGTAGGTTTCCACACCTACTCACTACCCGAGGAGCGTAAACTTCGGGTTGTAATAAAGGGGGTCCCGAAAGAGTCTGATGTCGATAGGGCTAAGGTCGACATCCGCACGCAGGGATACCCCGTGCACGCCGTACGTCGGCTCAGACACCCTCGCACCCGTGTCCCTATGGACATGGTTGTGGTTGAACTTGACCCTACCCCCCGGAAGGTAAGGCCATCTTCAACCTGAAGAGGGTCTGTGGGCTCAGTGACTTAGTCATCGAGCCCCCGCGTAAGTCAGGTGTTGTGGCACAGTGCCACAACTGCCAGCATTTTGGCCACACGGCCAATAACTGCTTCGCTCACCCAAGGTGCGTCAAATGCACCGGTGACCACGGCACTACCGAGTGCACGCGACCGAAAGATTGCGCAGATCCACCGGACTGCGTAAACTGTAACGCCACCGGCCACCCGGCTAGCTACAGAGGCTGCGCTAAGGCCCCGAAAACTCCCGCGAGGAAATCTCCTGCGAAGTCTACGTTGCCCAAACCCGCGCCTGTTAAATACATTCCCGCGCCCGTACCCGTCACAAACGCCTGGGCGAAACCCCAGGTGGCCGCGCAGGTAACCGCGCCGGTAATCCCGGTCGCCTCACGACCGATCGCACAACAGCTGCCCGCCTCTCAAACGGCGCCGCGGCCGCAGGTGCAACCAACTCCGTCAGTTTTCGCGGAAAACAAGGACAACCCATTCGCGCAAATCGCTAATATTTGCAGCTTACTTGATAGAATCAATAGGCAGGAACTCGCCGTACTTTCCGCTAAAATAGCGGCCGCCACATCTGGCCACGAGCGTCTTAGGGCAATTAGCCAACACAAAACGCTTGTGGAAGCCCTCTGGGCTTTTACGAGCCAACCGTAAAAAACAATAGTCCGCGCAATAAAACCGCGCTCCGCCGCGTCGTTAATTAGACCCATAAAAACACCTTAATGGGAAGTACAACCGCAGGTAGAACAAAACCTCGGGCTCTGGTTGTTTCGTATTTCAATGCAAACGGCATAAAGGGTCAAAGGGATGAAATCGCGGAATTCCTTCGCGATTATAACGTAGATATTTTCCTAGTGCAAGAGACATTCTTGAAACCTAGTGTACGCGATCCCAGAATCGCAAATACAATATTGTCCGCCACGACCGGTTAGCAAACCGTCTGGGAGGCACACTAATTTATTATAAACGGTCCTTGCACTGTTGCCCGCTCGACATTCCAGAGCTAAGTCAAATAGAGGCATCCGCGTGTAGGTTAGCGCTCACCGGCCACAGGCCGCTTGTACTAGTCTCAGCCTACCTCTCGGGGAATAAAACCCTACTTCAAAGGTCACCTCCCATAACACTCATTAAATACCTCACTTCCCAAACGCACCGCGAAATTATAATACTTCCACTTCACGCCAATCATCTGTGAGGCTGTGATACTACCATGAACAAGCTGCCAATTTGTTTAACAATAGCTACTACATATTCTCACCACAGTTGAAGGTGCCATTGCCGGTAAATTACTGAGTTCAAATTTTTTATTCATACTATATTCAGTTAACTGCATAATTATGTTATGTGCTGGATATAAATAACTTGCGATTCTATCCCCAGATATAAATTAAAGAATTTATCTATTATTTTGCTACATTTGTAGCAATAAAGTGTTCAAATAATTGAGAATTTAAAATAAAACTGCATTGAGACAATATCTTAATAAAAATAGTTATTTACATTTAAATTTTGTTTGTGTAATTTATATAGTTGTGAATTTCTTTACAGTCCTCTTAAATTTCAAAAGAATGTTAAACTAAATAAGATTATTGTAAACAGAGAAAGTATAAGTAATTAGCATATAAGGGCACAAATACATCGGCAAAACTTCTTATTGGAAATTTTCTAAAAGTGTAATTACTCATTGAACTTGATATTATTAAACGACTGCTTGAACAGCTCTTCTAGTAACAAGGCAAAAGTGGAGGCTGGTCCAGTTCGTCAAATGTCACCTTGGGAACGATTGCGTCCGTCAACGAGCAGCCGTGGCAGCGGTGGCGAGCGCTCCGGCGGCGCGGCACATGCGCGCCAGCAGGGCGGCCAGCTGCAGCGGCGAGGAGAGGCCGTCCGCCACGCGCATGTGCGTGGCGCCCACCTCGCGGACGAACGCCAGCTTGAGCTCCTCGGCCACGTCCAGGGTCTTGCACACGCGGAACACGTTGGCCACGACGTCCTCGGCCGCGTAGCCCTGCTTCAGCAGCTTGGCGATGACCTGCAAAGCGCACGCTCGTCATCCGGTCGGAGCCCGCTCTTGCAGATGCAGGTGCGAGCGGGAGCGGCGACCTTGTAGGCGGCGCGGACGTCCTGGCGCGCGCAGGCCTCGAGCATGGCGCGCACCAGCAGCGGGTGCGGCTCGTCGCAGACGCGGAACACGTTGTCGGGGCTGACGTGGCGGCCGGCCTGCGCCGTCGCCTGCAGGTTGTTGAGCGCCGCGCGCAGGTCGCCCTGCGCCGTGAACGCCACCGCGCTCACGCCCTCCTCCGTGTACGACAGCCCCTCCTTGCGGCACACCTCCATCACCTGCGGACCCGCTTACCCTATTATTGAGTCTCACTCGGGTCAAACCCGAGCATGGGTATTCATGTAACTAAAGTATAGGAATGTGAGTGTTTTTGTTTTTTTCCTACTATGGCTCCACTGATCGACTAAGCCGAGGACATGACAATAATAACCTACTGTATTAAACCACTTTCAGCTGCGTACCTGTAAAGAGAGGATACAAAACACCTCATTAGTAATTAGTAACACACACTCATTAGTAATGAAACATCAGCCATACACAAATAAAAAGAGAAAAAAAAGGCGAAAAACAAAAATCTTATAAACCAGCTTAAAGCTGGTATATTGTTAATTTCGAAAATGTGAGTGTTATCTGGCTATCATCATCATCATTTCAGCCTGTTTGAGTCCACTGCTGAACATAGGCCTCCCCCACAGACTGCCACGAAGTACGATCCTGAGCCACCTGCATCCATCGACTTCCCGCACATTTGCACAGGTCGTCACTCCATCTAGTGGGGGGTCGTCCTACACTGCGATGGCCAGTACGAGGCTGCCACTCGAGAACCTTTCTACCATCTGGCTATAACTACAATGAATGCATTGTGAAATGTGACATAAAGATGCAATAAATTGCCAGCTTAACATGTTATGAATTGAATTTTAATGGAGATAAATTGCATACTTTTTAGTCATAACAATTTTTAAAACTTATTTTTATAGAAACCATGATCAAAGTAGAAATGCTTTATTAAGTACACTATAACACAGCTCTATTACAACCACATAGACAATGGTTTTGTTAAAAGATAAAGTAGTAGCTTGAAGGGTAACCTTGGCCAGTATCTGGGCGTCGGTGAGCCGCGTGTAGCGCAGCACCGCGCAGCGCGACTGTATGGGCTCGATGATGCGCTCGCTGTTGTTCGCGGCGAGGGCGAAGCGCGTGGTGGCCGCGTACAGTTCCATGGTGCGCCGCAGCGCCTGCTGGGCGCCCTCGGTCATGCTGTCTGCCTCGTCCAGGATCACTATCTTGTGGCGCCCAGGCGGCAACGTTACCTGCACAAGTGTCAATCCGTAGCAGTGACAACTCGTCGTCAAAAAATCAACCTTAATCTTTAAAACCAAGGTTTGAATTAGAAGAGGGAGTGATGGATAAAAGTCAACTCTCTAAGCAACATTTATCTACTTTTTGTATTCATGACAAATCCTCTCAATCATTAGTATCCCTGCATTTATAGATCATTGAAATTATTCATAAAAATGCTTATTTATCACTTTTTCTTATAACATATAATAAAAGGGCTACAGTTTAATAAGATTGCTTGGCCTCAGAATAAAATATGTAAGATAATATTTAAAAAGAAACAATAATTTAAAACATTGTGTGTGTTACAATTTTGCAGTCTATTTTTTTTATTATTTATTAAAAATTTTAACTGCTATTTTGTATGTATCATTCCTATGGTGGATGTTATTGTTACAGTAATAAAAAGCTTATGAGTTGTCCTATATTTAAATTATTATATTCATCATTCATTCTTCTTAATCGGACACTCTTGGCAGAGTGGTCGTGGCTGTTGATGTACAGGATTGCGTCTCGTAGTCACTGTTCGCTTCCAAAGCAGCTGCACGTCTTGCATGTTCCTCCATTGGAGGCGGCTGTTAGCAATGCGAGCACATTGTACTGCTTTCGTAGTGCTGGTGATGAGGTCAATTCAGCGCGTGGGGGCTCAACCTCGAGGTCTTTTGCCTTCTATATTTATCATTATACAATTAAAATTAAGTTTTAGAATTTATAGTGCTTAACTGCTATTATTAAAAAGTATAATTATTTAATATTATATTTACCTTGCAATTTAATTATCATTATCATCTATATAATCATATATCACAGAATATGTACTAGGGATAGTTCAGGTTATATACTAGACCAAGCCAGTAAAAAGTCACTACACATCTCACAGGAGTTGGACATTGAATTTTCAAAAAAATGTTAAATAATTTTTAAAACTACATCAACATCATTTATCATTCTTCTAATATAAAACACATCGATAATACGCTCCGTATTATCATTCAATCAAACATATCAACTTTTAAACTGTAACATACCTTTTGTTGTGCAAACATCTTGATTTTATTTCGAACGACATCGATACCGCGATCATTAGATGCGTTAAGTTCAAGCACGGCATCTCGAAAAGCAGTACCAAGTAAAGCTCGGGCCAGACACAGGATTGTAGTTGTTTTGCCAACACCTGGCGGCCCGGCGATGATGATATTAGGAGCGTTACCCGTGCGGGCGAACACCGCCAACCGTGAAACAGTATCCTCATTGCCAACAATGTCATCAAAAGTTTGTGGTCGGTATTTCTCTATCCACGGTAAGAGTCCAATGGGTTTACTTGGTCCCGCAGTTGGTTTTATCGCTTTGGGTTCTGCTTCATCTACTTCCATTATTGTCACATCATCGTCACTCATTATGGGTAACGTAAACTTAGTATATTTTAATATAATAGTACGGCCAACCTTATGAAATAACTTTTAAACTACTTTTACAATATAAAACTCCCGCGAAATTCATCCATACAAGCCTCAAAATGTCAGCTGACTGACAACGGCTGTCAAATGACATTTGAAAAGCCATTTCACAACTGATTAGATTAGATCTATGATGATCAGTGTTTTAAAAACCAGGCGACAGACAGCTGACTATTTAACTTCTACAATAAAAATGATGTGTTTTTTTTTTATGTGAATAAGTGGCAAAGAGCCGTGATAGCTCAGTAAAGAGCCGTGATAGCTCAGTGTCCGGGCGTTCGCCTTTAATTCAATATACTCGAGCAACCTGAGTTCGATCCCCGGTGCCGGCACCAATGAAGTTTTTAACTTTAAGTACTGACTTATCACGTGCTCCGCGGTGAAGGAAAACATCGTGAGGAAACCTGCATATTTTCGAAATAATAACAAAAAATATATATTTTGAAAATAATAAATATAAGTCCGCCAATCCGCAGTGGGGCCGCGTGGTGGACTATGCCCAGATACCCTCTGTATAGAGGAGGCCTTTGCCCAGCAGTGGGACACGTATTGGCTGTTACTTTACTTTTTTTAAGTGGCAAACGAGCTGGCGGATCACCTGATCTTAAGTGATAGCCGCCGTCCATGGACATTTGCAACATCCGTAGGTTTACATAACTAGAAGTGATACATCATTGAAATTGATATATTAAAAATAAATGATTTATTTCGAGAATTCATAATTTTCTTATTTATAGTAAAATCTTGCGTATATCAAAACGTAGTTAATGAGAATGACAATTGGCTGGTTGACATTAAGTCAAATCGTCAACATTGTATGATTGTAATTAAAAATTGTGTCTGTGTGTCACAAACAAATCGATGAATACATAGTAGTAATGTGGTTAATATACAGATTTTTTTTAGTTTAATAGCATTTTGTATTATGTTCATGTTTACGGAAGATTACGTAGTTCAGTATATGTTATACTAACTTATTAGATTGACTCTTGATTCGATATCGTTACGCTGGTGAATCATCACCTGTAAATAATTGTTAGCATATAATTTTAGATAGATCGATAGTACAGGTAAAGTATTTAATCATTAATGTTAACATATTTGATTAATTAATTCCGTCTATATACTTAGATATTACTAAAACAAGTTGTTACTGTTTTACTGTTTGAATAATCAAAAAGTTTAAATTATATTTATAAACAAAGAAATAGATATAAAATGTTTAGTTTTCCAGTAAAGTTTCATAGGGTCAATATGTATATATGTACTGATGAAATCTGCATTTATCCTGACACATTCTAATTTTCACTTCACCAGTCTGAAAATATTTCTATAAATTAAAGTCTTGTTGTTATAAGGATATATATACTAATAAATTTATTAGTATAAAATATAATTTTTGACAAGAAATCATATTCAAATCTTACAGGAGCCAGTTGTGTGTTTCGCTATGGAGTGGCTATTTGGACACCGAATGACGCCCGACGAGATGCTGCGTAAAAACCAGCGCGCTCTCAATAAGGCCATGCGGGACTTGGATAGAGAGCGGCTCAAGATGGAGCAACAGGAGAAAAAGGTCATCGCAGATATAAAGAAGTTGGCCAAAGACGGACAAATGGTATTGTGTTTTAGATATATTTTGCTATCATTTTGAATCTATATTGTACTAATCAATTTTTGGACCTTAAATTTTGTTAATATTATACATAGGAAAATGTATAATGTATGATCCATGGAAGTACTAAATTTTAAAATTTAGTACTTCCATGGATAATACATTAAATAAATTACATATTTATAAAACTACAATTTGTTACAACATAATGGAAATATTATTTATTGTCTAACACAGGATGCCGTGAAGATAATGGCCAAAGACCTGGTGCGCACCCGTCGCTACGTGCGCAAGTTCATGCTGATGAAGGCGAATATCCAGGCAGTGTCACTGAAGATCCAGACCCTCAAGTCGCAGAGCACAATGGCGCAGGCGATGCGCGGCGTCACGCGCGCCATGGCCACCATGAACCGCCAGCTCAACATGCCCCAGATACAGAAGATATTGCAGGTGCCCTACATTATATCCATTATGCTTAGTGTTTGTGGACTATGAAAAAGCCTTCGATTCAATCGAGAACTGGGCGGTATTGCAGTCCGGCTTTAGGCCGGCAACGCAATTGTGACTCCTGTGGTATAAGAGTCCTAGGACCGCGGTGATCGCTTACCATCCGTTGAACCGCTTGCTCGTTTGCTTCCTATTATGTCCAGAATAATAATAAAAGATGTTAAGTATGTACTATAATGTAATTAGCTAGGTAGCTTAACACAATACGTAAATCGTCCGTCGCTTCTACTCCTACCTTCACTTATTTAACTTTATTTGACAACAAAGTAAAAAGTACCCACATTTAAGATTACACATATTGGAACATGACATACCTCACCCCTTAGTAAGCTACCTACCACAGAATAATCAAAAGAAAAAAAAAATCAAGAACATTTAAAATTAATAGTCTTAGTTAACTAATTAGTCTTTGTGAGCCTTAGATCTTTGATATGGCGTCTGTGAATGCAAACATGATTTGTGCTTTATTTTGCCTATCGTTGAAGACGTTATTTCTGTGGTGGATGGTATTTCTAACATCTCAGCCCATTGATCAGAGTCTGGGATTCCAATTATTTTCTCAGTGTCTTCACTGTTCTCAGACTCCTCTCTATGATTGTTACCATCTCTAGTATTATCTGAATATACTTGTTCCGTCGTTGGTTCCGTGTTTCTTCCACTTTCTTCATTCTCAACTTCTGACTCTACAACTTTTCCCGGTATCTTCCTTATTATCTGATCAATGTGACGATTAATAAGTACACCATCATCTGTCTGCAGTTTATAACTTGATGGACCACTTTTACTAATAACCATGCCTCGTAGCCATCTGGGCCCAGTACTACTATAATTGCGATACATAATCTCCTGTCCAACATTAGCGCTTCTGCTTTTTCTTTGAACATTATTATGTATTTGTTTTTCCATTCTTTCATGAGGTATAGTATCTGGATGTATTGTATCTAGTAATGTGCGTAAACGTCTCTTCATCAATAATTCTGCCGGACTCTTATTTGTAGTGCTGCATGGTGTTACTCGAAGACCGAGTAGTATATTCGGAATTTTTACCTCCCACGCCAAATCTTCCATTTTGCTTAATTTGTCTTTAACGGTTTGGACCATTCTTTCCGCCAATCCATTCGTAGCGGGGTGGTAAGGTGCTGTCGATATATGCCGGATATTATTAGCCTCCAAGAATCTATTCATTTCATTCGATACAAATGATGTACCGTTATCAGACACCACCACCTCACAGAGTCCATGGGTAGCAAATGTTGTTCTTAGAAGCCGAATAACTGTAGAGGAAGTAGTATTGTTCACCATGTATAGTTCAGGCCAACGTGAGTAGGCATCCACTATAATTAAAAAATATTTTTTATGATATGGTCCTGCAAAATCGACGTGAATTCTCGACCATGGTCTTGTCGGTGTAATCCATTCGTGGTTGGTTCTCGGAGGCATGTGCCTATTCTCCAAGCATTTGGAACAGGACCTAACCAGTGCTTCTATATCCTCGTTGAGATTTGGCCACCTAACATAACTTCTGGCAAGTACTTTTGTTTGCACTATACCTGAGTGTGTTTTATGTAATACTTTTAATATTTCATATCGCATCGATTTTGGTATTACTACACGACAACCAAGTAGTATGCAATCCTCTTGTAATGATAACTCTGTGCGATGCAACCAGTATGGACGTAAATCGGAATCTGTTATTCTAGCAGGCCAACCTCGCTGTATGTAAAAAATTACTCGTGACAAAATCCTATCGCCCTTTGTTTCCCTGGATACATCTTTCACATCAAACGGGAAGTCTTCCGGTGTTTCTGCAATTAATAATACCTCACCTAATTGTTGTTCTGCTTGTTCAGGAACAGGTTGGGGCCATCGGCTTAAACTATCGGCGTAACCAATTTGTGAACCTGGTTTATATTTTATCTCATAACTATGAGACATCAGAGCAATCGCGATTCTAGTCAATCGCGGAGATAACATATTAGGCAATGGTTTTATAGGATCAAATATACCCAGCAATGGTTTATGGTCCGTAATTATCTTAAATTGTCGACCCATGAGATAGTTATGAAATTTTTTAATACCAAACATTATTGCTGTAGCTTCTTTATCCAATTGCGAATAACGTCTTTCATGTGAGTGCAGTGTCCTCGACGCCATTGCTATTGGACGTTCTTGACCGCCTTCCGTTTCATGTGATAAAACTGCTCCGACCCCATATTCTGAACTGTCGCATGTTATGGTTAACGGTTTGTTTACGTCGTAATGCACCAAAGTCAGGTCGAACGTCAGCAGACGTTTGGCTACATCGAACGCACTTTGTTCGCGTTCACTCCATGTCCATGGATGTGTAGAGTCTAATAACCGGTGTAATGGTTCTAGTATGGTTGCCTGTGGTATGAACCTCTCATAAAAATTGTACAATCCAAGAAAAGCTTGCAATTCTCGTTTATTTTTTGGTTGAGGTGTGTTTACTATTGATTCTACCTTACTTCTTGCAGGATGGATGCCTTCAGCATCAATGACAAAACCTAAAAATTCAACTTTTTAACAACCGCCCGCTTTATCCTTCCTAGTACTATGTCTAAGCGATTTTCCATTTCCATCATAGTTTGACCACAAATGATAATATCGTCTATCAAAACTGCCACTCCAGGGACACCAGCCAGTAAAGAGGTCATCAAGCGTTGAAAATTTCCTGGGCTTGCTTTTACACCAAAAGCCAACCGATGCACCGAATATAAACCCTTGCAAGTATTTAGTGTTAATAATTTTGACGTCTGCTCGTCCACCGTTACCTGGTGTATGCTCGATCTAAGTCTAAGGTTGTGAAAAATCTCCCTCCAGCCACGGTGGCAAATACTTCGTTTGCTGTAGGCATGGCATAAGTATCTGACTCGGTTGCCTCATTAACTGTACTGCGATAGTCTCCGCATAGTCGTATATCGCCAGATTTTTTTAAAATAGGAACTACCGGTGTAGCCCAATCCGAAAAAGTTGTAGGGCGTAGAACTCCTTCTTTTTCCAGACGGTCTATTTCCATTTCCACCCTTTGTTTAATATCAAAAGGCACAGGACGCGCTTTTAGAAATTTGGGGATAGCACCTGGCTTTATATGTATTTTCACTGGTTGTCCCCGGTAGGTACCAAGTCCTTCCTGAAAAACTTCACTATGTTTTAATAAAATTTTGTCCATTTCTTGCATGTCATATTTTGTTACATAATTGATATTCATTGTTATATGAAGTGGATTTAACCAGTCCCGACCCAAAAGATTAGGTCCATTTCCTCTTGCCACTATAATAGGTAATTTTTTGTAGATATCCTTGTACTGAACGGGTAGTGTTATTTGTCCACGTAACTTGACAGGTGTTTCGGTCCACTTGCGTAACGAAATAGATACAGGCTGCAATGCTGTGTCTTGTAGGTGTGAGCTCAGTGTCTGCCATGTACGTTCATTTACAAGAGAAAAGCTAGCTCCAGTATCCACTTGCATTGAAATCGGTACATTTGCTATAGTTACCATTACTTCATAAGGAGGCACGCGACTATCGTATATATTTAAATATTCACCCGAGTCCGATATAAACTTTAAATTGTGCTTAGTATCCTTCTTCTTACTCAAACAAATCTTTTCCAAATGACCCTTCTTTTTACAATATTTACAAACAGCATTTATAAATCGACACTCGCCCGTATGTTTGTCACCGCAACGGTAACAAAAACGGAAATTTGCTTTTGATCGCACTGCATTAATTTCCATAGGCTCGTCTGAGCCGTGTACTGTTGGATCGGGCTGCGCCACTGCTGAACGCGCCGATACCCCCGACGTGCTCTCTTGAATCATGCGAACGTCCCGGCCTGCGCTTTCAGCTGACAACATCGCATCTACTACATCTTGATAACTTAAATTATCATGTTTTAATAATTCATATTGTAATTTCTCGTCCCACATGCCGCAAACAAGTCTATCGCGTAACATTCTTTCTAAGTCGTAGAAATTGCATCCCGAACTGAGTTTACGTAAATGAGCAACATAGTCAGACGCCGATTCACTCTGTTTTTGATTACAGTTATAAAATTTAAATGAAACTGAATCTCTATTTGTTAGAATTACTTCTATTTCACTGAAAGTCACATCACTTGCTTGTTTTGGAGTAATTAACGCAAGCAGAGTCTCAAAAACTTCTGATCCACACACTGTGAAAAAGTTAGCTCTTTTGGCTGGATCTAATACGACGCCATTAGGCTCGAAACAAAATTTTAAACGGTTAAGATAATTGTGCCAATTGTTTGTTTTTGGGTTAAATTCTTCAAACTTCACTGCTTTTCGATCCATTTTACAAAGTTTTTATACTCGTCGCCACTATTATGTCCAGGATAATAATAAAAGACGTTAAGTATGTACTATAATGTAATTAGCTAGGTAGCTTAACACAATACGTAAATCGTCCGTCGCTTCTACTCTTACCTTCACTTATTTAACTTTATTTGACAACAAAGTAAAAAGTACCCACATTTAAGATTACACATATTGGAACATGACACTTCCATAAATAAAAAAAATGTCATTTCGGTTATAGGTATATCGAAGTTCTGAAGTTTTTGCATATAAACACCACCATGTCTATTCGACTTCAGAATGAAAGCAGAAAAGCTATCCAATTGCAAGGAGGTTTGTGTGAGACAGTGAGATGTTATTTCTCTGTAACTGTTCACGACCGTATTGGAGGATGTTTTCAAGCTATTTTATTGAGGCGGATTCATCACTCACGTTCTTTTTGCCAACGCATATTGGTTATTGACGTCGTGCGGCTGATAATGATGATGAAGTGATTACCGTAGCCAATAGACATCTATAACGTTGCCAATCATTAGACAAGTGGGTCCCGGTTACCTCACTAACCAGGCGATACACGAAAATGTAATACTATCACTTCTCGTCGGTCTTCTGTGAGGCTGTGTATTTCTTCGGTCTAGTCTGCCCACTCGTTCGAAAAATATGATATGCCATGGGCTTCTTCAAAGGAAATATATGTTTTGGTTGCAGGAGTTTGAGAAGCAGTCGGAGATTATGGACATGAAGGAGGAGATGATGAACGACTCCATCGACGAAGCAATGGAGGGCGATAATGATGAAGAGGAAAGGTGAGTACTTTAATGTTAAATATTAAGTACAGAGATTTGCTTTATAAAAATTAATTTCTATTAAGAATTTAGTTTGCTTAATTTCTTCAGTCAGATTTTAGAAATATAATTGCTCTTCCATGCATATGTGAACCCATTATATTTAGAGACAGACACCACAAAATACGACAGTGTAATTTAAGTAGTGGTTATGTATAAGAAATCTAGTATCACCCAAGTCGACGCCCCTAAATGTTTATTATTGCTGTTTATTTCGTTTGAAAAAAATATATGTCATTCTAGCGATGCGGTCGTGTCCCAGATCCTGGACGAGCTGGGTCTACAGCTCAACGACCAGCTCTCGGGGCTGCCGCAGGCGACAGGCTCCCTCTCTATCGCCAGTGAGTGTCATCATTTTTTTTCTATAAAATAGTTTTAAAGTTGTTACATGTTAGGAAGGGATGTAGGTGACACATATCGATGGATTTAGTATGATTTTGCAAACAGCCTCAGTCCCCATCGGCCACTGGGATTCCTTGCAATGAGAACGTTGTTGTGGGTGCAGGCAAGCATCCGTCGGCGGTGGCGGCGGTGGGCGGCGGCGGGGCAGGGGCGGGGGGCGGCGCGGGGGCGGGGGGCGGGGCGGGGGCGGCGCTCAGCGACGCCGACGCGGAGCTGCAGGCGCGCCTCGACAACCTGCGCCGCGAGTAGCGAGCGCCTCTCTGCGCCTCGGCCCACGGCCCAGGCGCGTTTTTGGTCCTTCGGGCCGGATTCGGTTATGCAACTTGACACGATATATCATGCGTTTTCCGCCAACTCTAAACACTGGCGCAGAGGATGAAAATCGCCATAATAATGTACGAAAATCTACTTTTTTTTAATCATTTTAATTTTATTATGTATGTAATTTAAATACTTGCGTTAGTGTTGCAGGGAAAGTCGAATAATACAGTACTTTAAAAGCTTGAAGAGCATTTGCACGAGCAGAGAATACACTAATTTTGATTTCGAATTTGTTATAAAACACGTAAAGAAGTTTCTAAACCAGCGAGTTATTATTGTTAATATTGAAATAATTATGCTATTATTTGTAAATAATAGAGTATATTTATGTGATACAGTGTTTTTGTTTTATTTAAATGATCTATTTTGTACTTTTTGAATTAATTCATGAATTTTTCAAAATAAATAATGAGCTAAACAATATAACGACTGTCGAGGACCAAAGGTTAGCTAAGTTTTTGTTTTCCATTCTCATATCAGGCATGTGTTGGTTCTTACAAATATTTTCCCCTGAATAGTAATTGAACCCACAATGTGGTAGTTGGCGTGTGTGTGTGTGACTTTAATATTTTTTTTGATGCAATGAGATTCAAACCTTCGATTTCGATCAGTATATTTAAGACAGTATTATTTATGGCAAACTTTATTTTTAATACAAATAATGGCTCTTTAAGCGCAGTACAAGAACAGATAACGAATGAAATAAAAAGCGAATGTCTATTTCACGTTTAATTATAGGTTGTCACGCTTATTGTTATCTGTCTATTGCCTAATGAGGGAGTTGAAACGTAAGCAACATAACAGATTTCTGGAATTTCTAGATCTCATGGATTTCCGAATTGCGTCGATGAAATCACCCTCATGATATTGTTTTGAGTTATCTGGATGTGCACATAATGCACATGCACACACACAAATAATGATGGACATAAACACATAATTTGCTAGCTGCCGACCACAGCTGGGTTCCTTATGTCCAGCTTGATTTTATTATTGAGGAATATGTCCTTAACTTGTCGGTTAGGCATAAGGCAGACCGAGGAGTCAGAGTAGGTTTTTAGATCTAAGATTCATTACATTGCGCTTTTATATTACCTTTCTATGTCATTCTACGACCCAGGTGAAATCCAAGGTACTTAACGCAGGTTGATTGCGGTAATGTATCCGGTTCTAAGTTGACTGGGATGTTTCACGTCAAAATAATGTAATTGTGATATAATGTAATGTGCACTTCTTTTATACGCCACTTGGTGAGCCAAGCATTAGCGGCATTGAGCTGGGATTGCAACGATCTGCTCGCTTCATTTGGGTCACGGTTACAACTAAGGAAGGTCGCCTCATCAGCAAAGGTTGCTACAGCTGTTCCAGGTGACTGGGGTAATTCACAAGTAAATATGTTGTAGAGTACTGGACAAATACGGAACCCTGGGCCACTCCGGCTCTGCAGCTAAATAGACAAGATATTGCGTCGCGTAACTTCACTTGAAACTTTCTTTCACTGAAAAGATAACATTAGTAATTTTATTGGGTGTACTTCACACCCAATAAAATTACTAATGTTATCTTTGTGCGAAGGAATGAATAAATATACATAAAACAATATTATAGTTTATGTACCAGAAATTAAAAAAGAATCAGTTTTATTCAGGCACAATGTGGTAATTTTTGGTTGTCTTACATTAAAAAAAATATTTTAAAAGTCATACACACGTGTTGGTGGTTAAATGAAAGAGTGACAAAGAGTATACATGTTTATTTCCAAAAATACACCGCAACGGCTAGTACATAGAAAAGTTTTAATAAAATAACCTCAATCTAACATAGAGTCTAAAAGATAGTCTTAGCCGGGCGACACGGTGGCACACATCGCGGCGGCTGCGGTTATGGGGCAGCCAGAGCTAGGTGGCAGCCGTTTGAGATTAAACCCCAAATTTTTATTAACATTTAATAAATATTCACTATTCGAAATGCTATGAAACATTTCCCGTTAAACGATTCAATTACATTGCCGCACTAACGCTGATCATCGTAGAAATAAACTAATCATCTGTCAAATGGCTATTCAAATGTCATTTGAGTTGCAAAAGGATGATTAACTCTCTGAATTGATCAGAATGATGATTAGTTAATTGCTACGTTAATCAGTGTTTCAGAAACCGGGCGTTAAGAGACATTAATTAGCACTTAATTAAAATGTTATCTATGTTTCAAATTGAGTCTAAGTGTAAGACTAGACTTTGCAAATGAACCTAATTTTTTCGTTATAATTAACGACAGTTCCTTATTTAATTGAAGTGTGATTGACGGCTCTGTGTGCGGCAGTTTTTAAACTTAATAAACCCCCCCCCCCCCCCCCCCCCCCCCCTCAGACGATACTGTTACTGAATACATGAATTTTTCGTTTCATTTAGCTCAAGATACGTTTACCCGTGTGCGTTGGGCTAAACGGAACGACGTTTTTTTATAACTTACAAATAGGATGACGATATGTTTATCCGTCTGTATAGAATACAATACAGGCTAGATAATAGCCATTTGACATAATTATACAAATAACTCGTATCAATTACAAGTAATTACGTACATATAAGATGACATTACTTCTTTTCATCGTATTGAGATTTTGGCAAAACAGAGTTGCGTTAGACATAACTAGACTTCAAAAGATTTGATTTCGACTGTCGCGATAGGATGAAACCATTTGCACCTAAATCAAACCTTTTAAACCAATGAGGAAATACTTTTATGATTGTTAAAATAAATAAATTCCCAAAGATTTGGTCTTACTTAAATGCTGAAAACGATTGTTCGCTATTACAGAATTAATTGAACAATCGATGATTCTCTCCCCGCGTTTCAGAAACCCTATTAACCATTAGAAAACTTTGACCGCTCCACGATATCAGTAACGGTCGATGCGTAGCATTTCATCAGAGTGAGTGATACGACGATGACCCAATGTATCGTTGGACTTCTGCGACATGGAGCTTAAATCTTCTTAATCTAAAATTGCACTTTCACCGACTTAATTCTAGGTATATTCCCTTGTGATGCACACGACAGTTATACTGAATTTCAGCACAAACGTAATATACCCATCTAATATTTATGTAATAGTTTCAAATAGCTTCAAGCAAAATGATGAGGACTGTTGTGGTTATAGGGCTGACGAACGTTTAATGCTCCTTTGAAGTTCGTGTCGCGGGATTTTGGCACAAAATTCGGGCTCTTTTTAATTAAGCGCACTAGGGCTGCCAGGATAGATAATATTATAAAGGAGAACTTAAGATCGAGATGAGAATTTCATAACAAAATGAGTTTTTTTTATATAACTTTTATCTCAATTTGATTATAACTTTTATCTCAATCCCTACTTTATTAAAAGACGGCAGTGCATCTGCAACCGTACGGGTGTTGCAAATGTCAATCAGATAACCAGCTCGCGTTCCACCTTCTCGCATAAACACGATTTCATTACTATTTATATAAAAAAGTAGCGCATATGATACGGGAAGACGAAATACGTAAAAGGAGTACATGTCCTCTTTTTGGATACCATCTGGCAACCCTATGCGCGACCTGTATATATCTCGAAGACGACAATATTGGAAGCGATTGTTTAAAGTCAAACTTAATCTAAACGACAACACAAATCTGTTTGTAATGACTGACCTCAACGCACCCTATTTTACAAAATACTTATCAGTCTATAATATTTACCAGCTAATGATATTGGTAAATATTTATTTCTTTATTTATTCAGCTCCTTTTCTTTGCTGCAATTTAGGCAAAACTTAGGGCGCTGTTGAACTGGTAACCAATGATGGATGGTAATTAAGTTAACTAATGATTAGTCCTAAAAATAAAAAGGTTATGGTTTATGACTTTTTTCGCAAGGCAAGTGTCACATCAAGCCTACCTTGTTCATGTACGAAACGACTTAATTCGGAAACGTCTGTTGCAGACGCGGATGCGGTTTCTAATTAGGTAATTTCATTATTGAATGACATAGCTAAATTAGTAAATCATGAAATCTCACAACTATGTAAAGGTAAGAAAAATATTTCTGGGGGTTATGCCCTCACTGACATACGCGCCCGATCCAGAGTAATTTGTGTACCAAAATCAGCACAAAAGCAACGAGTGCTTTCGTACGTACTTTTATCATTTCCGCACTTTTTGGCACTTTGCTACTTTAAGATCTTCTTTACTCAAGATTCAGGTTAAAATCTGCCCCTCTCCGGCGGGAGGTCCCCAGCTACTATAGAATAAACGAACAAATCACGCGAACATAATGTTCCCACCACTGCAGCAGACGGGTGTGTGATGGGTGGATGTGTTCACTGCTGCAGCGGTTCCCCATCCCCGCGGTGCTGGAGAGCGCTGAGCGCGATCAGGAACTGCCCGAGGTAGTACGTGGACATCACCACCACCTGCGACCCGTACTCCGTCTGCGAGATGCGAATAATTATTTCAGAACACATTTTTACACAATGTTTTCTGGTCCCAAACTATGCAACGCCTTTACTCCATAGGACTAGGACCCATGTCCTAGATAATATAATAATAATAAATTTAATTCAGAAAAAGCCAAATTACAGTTAAATTTATTTCTGACCCCCACACGAGGCAATGCCTGTCCTATGGGGGTTAGTTCTGGACGATTTCCAATGTTAGGCGGCAGATGTAACAATTTTTAAAAATACAATGTGTGTGTGTGTGTGTGTGTGTGTGTGTGTGTGTGTGTGTGTGTGTTTGTGCTTACGTTTTTGATTTGGTGTTGGGCGAAAGTTTTTGATTAATAGTAATCAAGATACATTTTACTGACTTTTAACTACATCCTCTGATTCATCGTACGTCCAATTTAAGAGCGAATGTGAGAGTAGCCTCTTTAGTTTCCCTAACAGACTTTGTCTCAAATCTGAATGTTTTTATCATTCTATTATAGATATGCGGGAAAAGAAATACCTTGAAACGCTGTGCAAAAGATGTTGTAACCATGGGGATAGGGATCTTAAAAGTTCTTTTCATTAGCATGCTTTCATAACCAAGTACATTCTTATGCACAGCCAACGTGACCCTCAATAGATAAAGTTTCCTGCGACTGAGTACCTGAGCGTCCTTATAAAGATTTGTTGTTGGATACTGAATGGGTTTTTTTAAGGCTACCTTCAGGACTCCTCTCTGTGCCCTCTAGGGCTGACAAAAGTCTAATGCTCCTTTTACAAGATTCGATTTGGCAGCACCACCCCAAGCAAGTATACAGTAATTAATGATTGACTGGCATAACTGATAAACATACATAGACATACTTTTCTTTTGTAAATAAATACATATTGTTCATCACACAATACTGTTCCAGTAGTGGGGATGTCTGAGTCAAGAGGCAGGTTCACTACTCGCCACGCCAATAGATTTGGTTGCTGAAGATAGAATTTGGACATCGGTATTACGGAGCTAAGACAAATGTCAATCGCTATTAAATCTAAATCTAAAGATAGAATATTGAAACCGGCCGTAACTTTAGGTATATCTTCTGTCTAGGAAGAACATCGAAGATTGAAGTTTCATTAACGAAAGCAAAAACTTGTTAGTGAAAGTTACTACAAACGAATTTAAACAACCTGTGAATGTTTTTGTCCATACAATTGTATATATTGTGTGCCTTTTTTAATTTAAATTATAACGTCAAGATAATGATTGAGGAATTCTGTACGCCGTATTGAGTTTGTAACGTCACATCGCGCATCATTACAATGTAACAATCATCATCATAATGTTCCGATACGTTGACAAACTTATTAACTGTATAAAAAACGTAACGGAATATGCCGGCGTTTTGTGAATGCTTTTGAATATTGAGAAATAGTAGGACACAATGATGTTATATACAAAGATATACCACTTGCGCACCGGAATTGAGGCGCACAAACAACACCGATTGGTGTAGTTCTGTAGATTGCTATCTCTCCGTGTCATCTGTCATGTAAGGTGAAGCGGCAGTGTGGGCGCGCTCACCTGCCTGTAGGGCGAGGGCCCGCCGAAGAGGCTGTAGCCGAGCACGGCGTCGGAGAAGGCGAAGAGCAGGGCGCCGGCGCGCTGCGGGCCCGGCCTGGCCGCGCCGCGCCACGCCATGGCGGCCAGCAGCGCCGCGTACGTGTGCACCACCGGCGTCAGCGGCGCCAGCGCCCCCGCGCGGAACGAGCGCACGTACAGCGCGGCCACGAACGCGCTCGCCAGCGCCAGCAGGCTCTTGCGCGGCCGCAGCCCGAACGCCATTATGTAGGCCACGTGCGCGCACCCGAACAGCGTCATGCCGGCCGCCAGCAGCTGCGGCCACACGAGCGCCGCGTCGCCCAGCGCGGACAGCCCGAGGCCGGCGCACACGCAGCGCGCGTACCGCCCCCTGGGCCACCGCACGGCGCGCCCTTAGTCCGGCTGAGTACTACGGCCTTGCAGAATACAGGAGGCGAGTGGAAGCGTTACACTTCTGCGTTTCATCTGGTGAGCGAGCTAGCCGGGGCCCACTTTCGACCTGCCGAACATTGGACGATGCACAGCAATAAACGGTGGATGATTAAATGACAGAGCGCGCCGACGTCTACTGCCCTGGTCAATAAAAATGTAGCAACAGCTGATACTTTAAACTAAGGAATAAAAAACAACCTCTTTAACACTCATTAAATTCACTACGGAAAAGAAGTAACTGAAGTTGATTAATTCTCGTATAAAAAAGTCATGCATAACGAATTCGACTTACAACGTGTTGTTAGAGACACTACCATAAGGAATATTGAAAAGACGTGTTAATAATGTAAATTTAGTTTATTTTCCGGAGCGTAACACCAAAGATCACCTTCGACGCACGATGTTAACGAGTTTGCAAACAAAAGGCTCCTCTGTGACGCATCAAGAAAACCGATAAGATCGAGACGGATGTGCATTGCGCCAGAGAATGCATTAAAGCAATGTCCGATAACGAATAGTTTAATTACGTTAACTAACTTAACTAGAAATAATTTGTCTATGCCTTAAATAATTCCGCCGTGTTCGCGTCAAATCGATGAAATCACATGTAAACAATGATTTATTAGTCGCAGCGACAACGTTTAACTGTAGTTACATTTTGAGACGATATAAATTGTTAAATGATTCTATTGCGAAATATCAAATTAAGACAAATCGTCAACCCATGCTCTGACGGGGTGCTAGACCAGCGATGCCCGGATTTATATTGACCATGGAGCCCTTACCGTAACAGAAACTTAGTCGTTAACCCCCAAGTAACGTAGACCACTCCATAGACCATAAAGTCCGACCAGATCACTTCGACAATCGTGGAGCGTCACTTCGGAGCGAGCTGGTCTGCGGTGATGGTACGCACCTCTCCCCCGGCGCGGAGGCCGCCTTGAGCATGACGCATAACAGCAGACAGAGCACTGGGGCGCACTTGAGCGCGGCCGCTGCCGGCGAAGGGTTAGCCACGCCCATCAGGAAGTAGATGCACACCGCCTTGAAGAACGGCACGAGCTGCCCGCTCACACCGATACGCTTCAGCTGAGGGGGATATAGGCTTAGGAAATGTTTTGTATTTTAAAACAGGTGGTGAGGTAACTTGAATGTTAATGTGAAGTTAACTTGTATGTGTAACGTAGGGTTGCAGATGTGTTGCCACCACATAATAAAGGGGACCCGGCTACCTTACCAGACGGTACGCAGAAGCATTGACACTTCTACTTCACGTCTGTTTTCTGCGAGGTGGTACTTACCCGGACGGACCTTCCCGTTCGTAAAACGAAGCGATCCCAATGTTTTGAGGGACGGTAAAGTACCTTTCATCATTCATAAACCATGTCCTCTTTCTTTCTTCGTTCGTTCTTGTTCTCCAAATTGTCTCATATTATATGTCTTTAAGTCTTAAGAGTATTTACATATTTCAATGTTGACCAAAGCAGATAAAGAATGAATTTTTTAATTATTTTATTTATTTATAAATTAGATGTTAGTTTTATTTATACAACGGGTTCTAATTATTATTCAACTTGCAATTAACTCATTGCGAAAGAATTTAATAATAAAACTCGATCTGTCAGAGTTTTAAGTATATGTTTTTATATAAAATTGCCTGTTTGAATACAGGTTTGTCTACCTCTTTTTTTACGTGAGAAAGAAATATGCCAAGCGAAAAGAATGATGAGAATTTTAAGTAATTACCGCCACCCGCACAACGACTCTGTGGGATCAGTTGGCGCGAGCGTTATTTTCAGACAAATACGACATAAGAAAGGCTGCTTCTTCACATAAAAGATCCTAGCTCAATGAAGATTCATTTACATTATAAACAACTAGTTTAAAATAATTATAATATTCGAATTTGATATCATAACGAGTTGCAGTTTTTTCGAACTTCGGCAATCTGTTGAATTCATTGGCTATCGTAAAACAACTTGGACGCCCAATAGACATACATATCTTTCCAGTTATCCAGTTCTCCAGTATACAAATATGATTAAACATTGCCAAGTTCATTCCTGTTTCTTTCTGTTGACGTAAATTTTTCTAAAATACTCTACTGTTTGATATAAGACCAAGGACAAAAGATTTGTTCGAGTAGTCCGTCACCGAGATGCCATTTTAAATCGACAATAGGTGAATTTTAAACTATAACACGATTTCTCACTGCAAATCTACAAATACGCGAACTCCATCTCTCTGCATCCGACGCGAGGAACCTCCTTTGGCGTCAGTTTTCCTCGGCTTCGAAGGCGGCCGCGAAATGCTTTGTTTCGATTAAGTGGCGACGCGGTGGGGCCAGGCGCTCCGGCTATAAATATCCGCGCGCCCTCCGACCGCTGCTCCCTGACCTGCGCGGCGCAGGCTCCAATCAAAGCGTCCGGTGACCGATTTGCGCGCCATTTTCTTAACTTCCGCTAATCATGAATTGATTGTGCGCTAACATTACAATCGTTCTAGAATCAATTGAAACTTTCGTTCTCCATTGGCGCCTCCACAGATGATTCAAATGGAATCTGATTGATCAATTTCTATATAACTATGTGAAGGCGCGGGTGAAAACAAGTTATTACATATTTTTAAAGGCATACCGGTGCCGATACTTATTCTGTATATTTAACACACGACTGACATAAACTGGTTTGTAAAGTAAAAAATATTTAATAAGCCTACCATATTGTTGAGTGAATAAAAGTTGAAAAAAAAAAGTTGATTGTTGAAGCCATATCAAAGACGTAGCGGCGCTAAAAATAACAAAGCGTAGCTTGTTTGCAAGAGTCAAAAAGCGATAACGCCATCATTCACCTCTCCAAAGGTAAATAGTGTAAATGAATGTTATCGTGTGCATTTGATAAAGTCTTTGTCAATCAATTGTCCTCGTAGAATGTTTAGGACGAGGGCGACCGGTGATCGACTGTGTAGCTGCCGATTACAATACAAGTTTGCTGATAACGAAACACCGGCATTGAGTCGCGCAGAAGTTTAAGTTCGTAGAAACTAGCCTTTTAACGGACTCCGAGGCCGATGAAGCTATTGATAGACACATAGTACCGTTAGACTCCGCCGATTGCGAGACTTACCGAACGGTGACGCGGTTCACGTTGGCATCTCCTCTTCGCGGACACTCCTAAGAGAATTCGCCTATAGCCCTGTTGTTTTATAGACTTAGGTATTGTTTGGCAAGAACAGCGCCATGAGAATTCACAAGGGTTCCTTTTGGTGAAAGGACACTACGAAATCAACAGGAGACGGAAACGATGTTATCAAACGATCCCGTAGCGACGGCGGCAGCCGACGCCGTATCGATCCTGCCGTAACATCCGAATAAATTGCTATAGTACATCACACGTGGAATCGCTGGCGGCTAGAACGTATCGGATGTTCCGAAGAGCATAGCCAAGGCTTACCTATTCAATGTCTGGTAATTGCAAGTGAAACAATAATAGATTCGACATTCCCGATTCCTAATGGAATCTAAAATTTTGTTTCAAAATTATAATCAATATCATAAACAATTATTAATTGAATAACTAAATTTACATTGCTCATATTGGTTATAGCTGAAAAGAGTCCTTATCTAAGACGATCGCGAAAATTTCGATTTTATTTCGGTAAGAAATATTTTGCAAAAAAATTAGCGTTAAAATTGATACTGTTATATTAAGCATTTTTGTTCGCAGCGCTATTATTCGCAATTCATTTACTCGTAAAAATCTTGTAAGAGTTTTTAGCCCTGTTGTTTTTAGACTTGCAATTTAAATGTAATTTATTACTTACAAAGATTTTTAAAGTTCAATTTAGGCTTACCAAGTCACCGACTATCATTATAAAGTTGATCTCGCAAAACACTTGAAAATCTAAAAAAAAAAAACAATAGATCTAAAGATAACGCGTAAACAACGTCTAACACAAACAAAGCGATTTTAAGAATTGCAAACACTCAAAGAGGCAAACACTGTTCTGTTTATTTTGATCTTTGAAAGCAAATACGCAATGACAACCAAAATATTTGAATTGCCAGTAAAATGGATTAGGTTTCAAACAAAATACGACAATTCTATATGGTAGGGTTATATATGTCGTTCAAAAACAAAGATCTTCTTCAAATCTTAATTAGCCTTGGATCGATGCAATATAATAAAATAAAAATTCAAATATTTTTATATAAATTAATGCTCCTATCTGAGCTACATGTGTATAAATGAAGTAATGTTAAAAAAATGATTTTCAAGAGTAATTTGAATTCAATCACGGGAGTGGCACTGACGAAATTTTCAATTGTCCTGCTGACAGCTGATGTGTTTTGATTTTAAGTGCATCAGATACTCAAAATCAAAATCAATATCATTTATTCATCGAATTAACATACGAATAAACATACATTTCATCTATCGAAAGTTATTTTTTTTAATCTCCCACCGTTTCCTAAAAAGGTTCCTCTAACGGAGAAGAAATAGGCGAAAGCGAAGGCGCCGAAGCTATCCTTTGTCATTTTTTTTCCCTCAAAACATTAAAAAGATATATTTTTATAGAAATAGCTTGGGAGTGGTCATCCCCAGGGGGTTATTGTCATTAATGTATTCATTTATATTGTAATAACCCTTTTTATAAAGGTTTTCTTTAATAAATTACTTTCATATTTTTTGCCAAAAGAAAAAAAATGTTCTTGATGAGCTGGAAATTTTCATTTAAACAAATTGATACACTATATTCAGTTTGGTTTCACAGTTCAACTCTGGGTAGTAAAGAAATACGTCTAAAGTAAGTGGGGTCCGAAATACGATCGGATTTAAATATAGTACTAATTGGTAAAGAAAAACATTGTGACGAAAGCTCCATACTTTTGAAAAAATAAAATAATATGTTTTGGAGATAATCTGCCAATATATGGTGGCGCGGCAATTATACAATATAATACCTTTCCTGGCATTGCAAGTTTGTAAAGGACACCGCTCACTAATATTAATTAGATCATAAGTATTATTATTACCAACAACAACCAGTATGGTCGTGACATGGACATTAGACATGATCTCATGTCTAATGTCCATGTCACGACCCTGGCCCTACTGTGTTACTGGCCACGCAGTAGCCTCGGCTGTTGCACGAATGGGCAGGCTCGTCCGGGTAAGTACCATGACCTCACAGAAGACCGGCGTAAAATGGAAGTATACTTTCGCGTTTCGTCTGATGAGTGAGGTAGCCGGAGCACAATTTTCAAAAGGTTGTCAACCCATCTGTAACCCTCGGTTGTATCAGATGTCCATGGGCGGCGGTATTCACTTAACATCAGGTGAACCGCCTGCTCGTTGTCAAATTTTCATATAAAAAAAAGATCTTCATCTTGTCCATGTTCACCTTAAATTCCACCTGATGGGAGACGCTGTTGAGGTCATTGAGCATAGTTCCAAGGTTCTTCAGTGATTTTGCCATGATGACTATGTCGTTGGCAAATCGGAGGTATAAGGTGTTCGCCACTCACGTTAATACCACGTCCTTTCCAGTCCAGAAGCTTGCAAAAATCTTCCAATGCAACGGTGTAGTTTTGGGGATATGACATCACCCTGTCGAGAGACAACTGCAGAGATGCAGTTTTATGAGTTTTTCTACTAGCGTACTTTACTCGGATGAACATCGTAGCCTTGTTGTTCTGTCTTCTGTATAATCTGCCGCAGGATATGTGTGTGGTCTATGGTACTGAAGCATTTTCCGGAATCCGGCATGTCTATGAGGCTGGAAGCTGTTGAGTCTTGAAATGAGACGATTTATGATGACTTTTGAAAACAGCACATAGACACGAATCAGAAGGGATATCAATCTATAGTTTTTCAACAGAGCTTTATCACCTTCTTAATACACTTCGTATTCACCGAAAGCTCAGAAGATTAGTAAGCTGAAATGGTGATGGGCCGGCTATATAGCTTGTACAACTGATATATGAACTTGCTCTGTGATAATTTCTTGCTATGTGATTAATCCGCCACTGATAAGAACGATATTAATACAAAATATTTATGATGTTTCCTTATTAACTTCAATTTACTAATTTTCTCATTGCACAACATAAAAACTCCCTAAAATTATATGAAATAAAGTAAATTACCCATATGGTTTGATAACTTACTTTAAAAACTTTAAAGAACGCACGTTACTATATTAATTTTGACGTTTACAAGTTGACACTTGACATTTACCTTTTTCCCGTTTAACGTTGTTTGATGTGGATATGAATTAGGATAATTAGTTACGATTTTAACATTAGCACTTTCTATTTTAATATATATTATTAAGCAAATAAGAAAGATGCCTAAAAAAAAGACCGGACAGAGAAAAAAAGCTGAGAAACAAAAGCAAAGGCAAAAGGAGATTCGTAATGCAAAGGATCACGTAGACATAGCACAGCACCCTTGCAACATGCCTATGGAATGTGACAAGTGCCAAAAGTAATTACAAGCTACCTAATTAATTAAAAGTTCGAGAAATATGCATTATATCTCTAAATATTAAGATTGTCTTTAAGATTTTAATCTTTTTTGACTTCATTCCACCGAACTTTGCTTAAAGTCATTGTAACTCAATAATTAGTAGTTGGACGATTCTAAGAGTATTAGATTGCTGAATGTTAAGAATATTAGTAAAATTAAAAATAAATATGTTGATATATTTTATTTACGTACATAGATAAACCATAATTTTAAGTATTAAAAAGACTTACAAATGTATTGTATACCATAAACTAGTTTACTGGTATTGATTGTGTAATTCTCATGTATTTTATATGTATCATTTCTTTTTTATTTGTTTAATTATTTGTGAGCAACAATAAAACAGGTGGTTGTGCAGTTGCTTAACTATTAGCTTCAGTACTGTAGGTTATGGATTCAATTCCCAAATGGGAGAAGTATTTGTGTGACACAGATATAAAGTAGATAAGGAAAGTAGACATTGGGGGCTGATCATAAAAAAACCTTGCCAATAGCATTAACAACATGTGATAAGCGCAGGAGAAAGAACAGGAAGATTAAGTAACTATTACAAAGGGGTTCAAAACTTTACCTGAAACTTTATTATAAAAATTTTAAATTGAACATTATATTTTATATTATCTTTATTGATAGAAAATGTGAAATTGTAATTATAATATAATATTTAGGAAACAGAAGAGTCGTGCCTTCTGCTACTTCTGTCAAGCACTCCAACGGCTGCCAGCATGTGCACACTGCGGCAAGGTTAAGTGCATGCTCAAGTCTGGTGACTGTGTTGTCCGTCACCCTGGGGTGTTTACTACAGGCCTTGGCATGGTGGTATGTGGCCTTTATGTTTTGGAATAACATTAAAGTTTTTGTAATTCATTTGTTAAGTTTTGATGATATAGGTTACTGAATCAATTACAATTCTACAATTTTTTTTATTAAACTAGTAGTCACACAACTATTCAAATTCTAGAAATCTATTATGGTGCTATTTAAGCTATTCCAAATGGGAGTTTAAGTACCAATGGATGGCCACCTTATATGATAGGTTCATGAGTGATGATGAAATAATAAAAGAAAAGAAGGAACTAAATTAAGTGAAGTGTCCTCCCGCGGAGTAGAAAAATAAATGATACTATGATAGGGCCATACATCAGCTTCTGCTGCATGAATGGATGTGGTCATCCGAGGAAGTATCATGGCCTCACTGAAGACCAGAATGAAGTTATCTTATTCACCAGGGTCGTAATGGTCTCAGTGGTGAGTAAGGTAACTAGGGCTTACTTTTTGTATAGGCTGTCAAGGCATCTGTAAGCCCTCAGGCATTATAGATATCCATGAGCAGGATGGTAAATGTTACATTTCTTAATTAAAAAAAGCAATTTTTTCTATTTAAGATAATATTTTTGACATTATGTACTGGGTTATAAACTGACTTTTTTACTTTTTATAAACTGAACTGAACTAAGTCTTAACTGATTTAACTAAGTCGAACAAATATTAATGAAATTTCATAATCTTTCCAGGGTGCAATATGTGATTTTTGCGAGGCATGGGTGTGCCATGGGCGCAAGTGTCTTAATTCGCATGCCTGCTCATGTCCACTTACGGATGCCGTTTGTCTTGAGTGTGAACGTGGTAATTACCTTTTATAATATTTATTTGTGAAGCCGGGCGGGTCACTAGTTACATGATATATTTGATCAACATTAACAAAATATAGCAAGTAATTTGAATAAATCAAATAAGAAAAACAAAACGATTATGTCTACTTAATTTTTTGTATAAATATGAGTTATGTACTGTGAATTAAATGAATAGTTAGTTTTATACATAAATATTACAGTCAGTTTTTTATATTAATTATTATGTTTAAAATCACATTTATGTTTCATGTTCAGGTGTATGGGAACATGGTGGGCGCGTATTTCGCTGCTGTTTCTGTCAGGGTTTTCTATGTGAAGATGACCAGTTTGAACACCAGGCTTCGTGCCAAGTGCTGGAGTCGGAAACATATAAATGTAAGCAGTGTCAACTTAATAGTTATTAGATTTTGGTATCAGTGACTTTCTCAATTGTATTCATGAGAACTGTACCACAGTAGTGTAATAATAATCTTATTAAAACAAGATTATGGTCACTATGGCTAGTGGAATTTCATAAAATATCAGTAACAGATGATTTCAGATATTATTGAAAAAGTTAATAGTGTAGCATTTAATGGATATGAATGATTGTATTGTGTTTTATTTTCTATGGAAGAGAAATGGATAGTAAGTCCCAACAACCACTGTAAATTAGGAAGATCTATTGGCAAGGGGGCAATCCTTACTGTAGCATAACCTAATTCTGAGTTGTAGGACATTTTACATTACTCAAATAGATCAAAAACAATTGTCTATGGGTCACACAAATAATTGTATCGTGTTGGAATCGAACCCAGGACCCCCGGCGCTGAAGCCAGTACCTTGGCAACTGCGCGACGGAGTCATCAATATGTAAATAGTAACATATAGTAATGCGAGTTGTAACGTTTTGACGCAGGCCAATCGTGCAACCGGCCTGGGGCAGTACTCGTGCCTGCGCTGCAAGACGTGCTTCTGCGAGGAGCACGTGCGCCGTCGCGGCACCAAGCTGGACCGGCGCGCCGCCCCGCCCTGCCCCCGCTGCGGCTTCGCCCTGCTGCTAACCGGGGAGCTCAGCATGTCCAGTCAGTGCACAGACATACAGACATATGTTAAACATTATTACGATAGTCTCTTCATGGATAGACCTGGTCAATGCCTTTGCGTTTCACCTTTTGATGTGAACAGAAGCAGTATCTGATTAAATTTCTGATAACATACCAAATTTTCTTTGAGTTCAATCTCTATTTAAAAAATTTCAAGCACAGTTTTTAAAAATGCTATAAATTTGCAGTGACAAGGCTGTATTTATAGCATTTTTAATTGTAGGCACAATGACGTGAATTAAGTTAAAATCAACTAAGCAGTTAAAAGCTTTTTTCACCAGTGTCGATGTGTGAATTTTCAGCTCGCTCGCACCGCTACGGAAGACAAGGCGCCGCGCTGGCCGACGACGACGACTACAACGCTGGCGGTTACACCGGTGGGTTTGCGCCTTTCTCTCTTCATATTAAATCAACTGTTGTGTGACATGAGAAGGGATGAGAGAGATGAGAGATAAGAGATGCTTATAAGAAATCTCCATGTTTATAAATATGATAATTGTTCAGGAGTTAAGAGAAATGAGAAGTATCAATAGTGGAAAGTTCTAATGTTTAAAGCAAATTATCCTTACCTTTATACAAAAAGGTCAATATTTGCCATGAGCAATGTTTAGTAAATAGTTCTTAAACATGGTCATAAAACATATTTTGAAACACTAACCACCCCACTCCTTGGGGTTTTTTTCCACTCCAAAAACATTAGCTTAATTACTAAGAATGTTTTGGTTATACTTCAAATTAATTTATTTTTTAACAGTGTACAAAATAAGTACTAAAATTTTTATTTTATATATTTATTTTATTTATAATTTTTATATTATACCATTTGTGGAGTATATTGTACTCAATTTACTAATTTTTTTTTTAATATTGCAGGCTATGATGGAGGTACTGAGGGTGGTGATTACTCGTATTCATGCTCAGATTCTGAGGAGGAGGACGAGGATGATGAAGAAGAAGAAGACGATTCCGAAGAGGAGTCTGATGAAGACGCGCAGCGCGAATCATCCAGTAGCAAGCCTTCAGCTTGATCTGCATTTCTCCATAAATTATACAGCATAAAAATATAATGTTATCAATGTTTTATGTATATTTTATTATAATTATTTTCCCTATGTGCCATGCAACCTGCATAAGCAAATGCTATTCTTTGGTACAAATCATATGTTTTGGCTCAAAACCATACTTTGAAATAATGTCAGCGATTTTCATTTCCTATACAAAAAATTGTTTCATGGGTTTCATCATCATTTTGAAAGATACATTTAATAAAAATCTGTGTTTGGGTCCATATATCCGTATGAGAATCGATTTATGTATGAGATCTTTACAACAAAGGATAATAGACGTCTGTAGGAGACAGAAGGCAATGTAAAAAGTATCATTAAAATTTAATTTTGCTTAATAAAATTGTTGCCATAAATCAATTGAACGTTCATTTTCTTTTAGTAATATCCATGCGTTTGCGTATTATCATTTGGAAATTTGTGATAATATCTCATAAATACAATCCAGTATGTACGAAACAATCCTGGTGGTTTTAATATTCAGTTAGGAATCTGTACTGAAATTGATTTTAGGTAGATCTGAATTTTGTTTCTTTTAATTCTTATTTATTCTTCTCTTCTAGAAACAAATACAGTATATTTGTTTCTACATAGCCTTCTATAGAGAAAAAGAATGTTTTTTTGTAAGGTGTAGTTTCCTCTTAGTAGTCGGAATTAAAATAAAGACGCCACGGATTTCGTATTTTTTATATTTTTAGTGTCTGGATTTACTAAAACGAAACCCAGTTAACAACATATACCAAACGTTTGTATTAAGAACTAATACTCTAAATACGACATATTTTGAAGTATTAATAATTAAATACAAAACATAGTTATTAAATAAGAATTTTTAGGTTCCTGATTAGTTTGAATTCAACAGAAACTAAAAGAAACCAACAATTTTTGTATTATATGCATTCTTCTTGTTTTATTTTGTAAGTGTTAATCATGTTGTGTTTAATCGTGTTTCTAACACATAATAAATACTTGAACAAAAACTTAAACCTTATCATTTCAAGTGTTTAGGTTTGTTACCTTTTCTTTCTATTTTCTGGCAACATTATAGCAATTTAGTTGTGATGGTCTGGGTCCAGGGATGCCAACTTAGGAATTTTTTTCCTAAATTTAGGAAGAAAAGATGTACAATAGAATTTTTAAGGACATAAATTTCTTTGAGAATATTTTTAGGAGTTATTCACATTTAAAAAAAAAAAACTGCACAAAACACTTATTTTAAACAAAAAATATAATGTAATAGTGTGTGCTGCTTTGAAGGACTTCAGGCCAAGGCCTATGTGTCTTTTATGTATATTTTAACTTCTTCCACCATAAACTATAATATTGAATGTATTATATCTTACTCAAAATATAAAAACATTGTGAATGCGTTTCCTTAAAATATATTAAAGTAATAAATTAAGCAATATAAAATGCAAAAGGATGTTAAAATTATCGTTTCTTGGCCAACTAACTTAATTTTATCAGATAATAATTTTACTGTGATAAATTATAAAAAATTCGTGATTTGTAAATATAGGAAGTTTTTTTTTAATTTAGTCATTTTTAGTGGGTTATCAAATTTCTTTAGGAGTATTTATTTTACAGTTGGTAACACTGTCTGGGTCTGCTAACTAATCTAGTGAGTAGTGACAGCTACAGCGATACTATACAACGATTGCCAATAATGCTCTGAAACGACAATATTGGTGTTCATTTTTATATCTATTTACAAATAGCGTTTTGTGATAAGTGGAAAATACGTCCTATCATAATAATATTCCGTCCGTGTTCGTGAAAAGTGTGTGGCGATGGGACCGTTAAAGGGCGGTCGGTGAAAGTGCTTGGTGTTTTGTGACCGTGATCCAGTAAGCGTGAGTGGGTGAGGATGGGCGTGGGGCTGCAGCCGCTGGAGTTCACCGAGTGCCTGGCGGACAGCCCGCATTTCCGTGAAAACTTACAACGCCACGAGAAAGAACTCGAGAGAACTAGTCAACAGATCAAACGACTTATCAAAGAAGTTAAGGATGTTGTGCAGGCTGCTAAACGTAAGTGAAACTAAATAAATATTTATTTACTTGCCCTGATTTTGGTCAACTTTCGTTGTGTCGATTATACTGTTATAATTTTTATTTTTATGTATTTTATTGTCATTATAAATAAAAACATAAAACTTACTTGAAATAAATAATAAATTCGACTTATCATTTGCTATAAAAGTAGTTCCCGATCATGAAATTATGTTTTTGAACATAATAATGTTTGTAGGTAGTTGCTAAGTTTACTATTGCTTTGTATTGTCAGTGTGCCACTTGACTGCAGATAACAATGCAAGTGGGGCAGTGTATAGGTATAGGTGTAAATGGATTTGGCCTTGGGCACTATGACATTATATAACCTTGCCATATGTACGAAACTGTTCATCTTATAAAATTAAGTGTAGCATCAGTGGTGTGAAAATGTTGAATATAAATTTTTATAATTATCTTTGCTGTATCTCATAGAAGTGTCATTATAGTGTTCTTTAAACTTATGACTACTAAGTAATGGAAACTATTTAATAATTTGTCTTTATGTTTTTTTATGAACACAATGAATTAAAGTAAAGGGAATTAATATATCAACATAAAAGATAATGAACTCCTACAAAACAAATTAGTTGATTATCTAATTATAAGTCTTAAAATTTCTATACATTTAAGCTAATAGACTTCATATTTGATAATGGAGTTATTTACAAATAGTTGAAAAGATAATGAGCTGGCTTTTCAAAAAATAAATACAGTTTTTATTTTATATTCTGCTATTATTCTTTGATAGAATTTACATTTCAATAGAAAGGATGGTTTGACTTTGCCATCAAAATATATTCATAAACTACAATTATTATTAACAAGTTGCTTTGTGTGCTTGTATGATATAACTTATATATATCCAGATAATAAATGAATGTAAAATGTGACTGTGTAATGGTGAGTCATCAGTCGTTCATCAGTGTCCATAATAGACACCCACAATCCGCTGAAAGTAAATTAATAAAAAACCAGACACTCCTTGTTAGTTTAGCTTATCGTATCTCTCCTTCGTCATACTACAGTTGTGCTGTTTAGTTATTATTTATTGTTCAATTACGTATGAAAGTTTGCATAAGTGTCTTTTCTCACTTGATTGGGAAGATTATTGGCAATTTTTTCGATATACAAATATTTTTTAAGCAATAATTTATTTATTTCGGTTCGCAAACAACATACATACTACAAATTTAAAAATTTTTTTACAGTGCTAATCTCTGCACTTAAGATTAAACATTAAAATTTGTAGAAAAAAGTATGAAAAGATTGTCGCCGCTGTGGGAATCGAACCCACATCTTCGGCATTCGCGGCGACAATCTTTTCGTTTTCTACAAATTTTAATGTTTAATCTTAACATACATACTATTTTCTAATAATTATGAATGAAAACAATTATTCAACTACTAAATGAGTATGCTGTCTATTACCTATTACAACATTACTTATTTTGGACACTTATCTAATGAGTTAACAAATTATTAAAGTATAATTAAATCTATAAGACAATAAAAAATACCATCACATAAAAGAGAAGGTGTGTGAATATAAGATGTGATAATAATATTCTGCCATCCTACTTCAAAGCAAAAGCTGCATCTTTTTTTGCATTTGTACTTTGATAACATGAGCAAATAGAAACTGCAAGGAGTGACTCAATGTGGCCACAGTGATGTAATCAACTTCATTTTATTCCAATCGTTAGTTTACGAAACCCTTGTCCTTTTCATTTACTGCCTGTGAAATTTATGTTTTCAATGCTTTTTATTATCGTTTTGACTGCTCAATTGATTTGACCTTTTCCGGCATAATTTATTTGGCCAATTTCATGTTATTATTGATAAACACTTATATTGTTACACTGTATGATAATGTACCTTGAGTTTGGCGATGTGTCATCGCTACCCTATGCGTTCATTTCGACCACATTTAGAAAGGGAGAAAGATTCAGTTTCATTTAAGATTTAGTTTCGATTTCATTCGATCCGTATTAGGAAACGTTCGCGCTTTTATCAATGTACGTTGATAAGGCGGCTTGATAAAAGATAGCGTGCGAAGGTGTGCCTTGTAAATGTGTACTTTGGTGTGTTGGAGGTGCCCATAATCGCGTCGCGTTAGGAATCGTAACGGTGTTTTTTTTGATGATTATTTTAAACTTTTTTCACACGCGACTTTGACTACTTCTAAATCTGGGAAAATATTTTTTTTTTTTTACGATTTTTACGCATGACAGCGATGTAATACCGTAATGTTGCGACGCATCTTACACATCTGTAGACTTCCATTAAAAATAAGTTAACAGCCTTTTTATACCCCACTGCTGGACTCCGTATGTACAGAACATTGAGTATTAGGGCACAGTCCCACTGCGGATTGGCAGACTTCACATATCTTAGAAATATTATATTTTTTACTCCACGATCATGTAAAATTGTCATTAACAATTGCATAGCTGCCGGCACCGGGGTGATCTTGGGTTATGGTATATTAAATTAAAAGCAAGCGCCCGGAAACTGGGCTATCGCGACTAAATGCGTGATACATATCCACGGTAGTAATCACTAAACATCCCGCGAAACTCCCGTTCTTTTATCATTTTCTAAAATAATATTTAAAAAAACGAGAACAATGTTAACGATCGAAGTTAAAATCAAAATATTTTTAAGACTAATATTTCTAGACGTGGAAATCTACTTCCGGTTGACGAATTTAGTTCTTTTCAAAAAAGATAGTGGTTTGTTAAAAATTTAAATATAACAAAAGAACGAAAAAAATGGTAGTAGTCGAGAACTCAGCAATATAAGGTATTAAATACCACATCTTACTCTCAATGTAGAAATCTTAAAACTTGTATTAATCGTGCATATGTGATTAGTTACGGTACGTATTCTTCGATATGTGCAAGTTTCGACGTTTGAATGGTTTACGCGCATTTGTCATGGGTCCGATAACTCCGTGGCAGCGACCAAAAAGGTTTCGAACAGAGATGGACCTGCTGTCGCGACGGAACCCTAATAAGTTTCCCATTTCTAGATTTTTGGCATGCAAAATTCGTCGCCCAAATTGTTCCGTAATATATGTATACCCCAATAATGAGTAACATTCACCAACCAAACCATTTGAGGCAAAATTAGTTTGAACTGTGGATAATATTTGCTCTTTCTACATTGGATTTAACTTTGGCCGTAATTATTTACAAAATTAAATGGAAGCTCTCACAGATACTCTCAGCTGTTCAATAAGTTCAGTTGCGGTAATAAAAAAAAAGTTTTGTAAGTAAAAAACTAAAATGTTCTATGAGACATTGTTTGCTATGAATGAAGAACTTGCGTTGATTTGGAGTCGGTATTTCTATTTTATCATGTCCACATTTTCCTCAAATCTCTCGCGACGCTTTTGCCGTATCGTCTCATTATTAAATTCAATTGTTTTCGTTGCGTCATTGTAATGGCTAATTTGATTCGTCTCGTGCAACATTGCCGGGTGTTGCCAGCCAGTAGTTGTTAATTATTCACTTGTTTGTAGTACTCTCGTGGCGCCGCGGTTTCCGAATGCCGTATCGCTATGGGGTTAAATGTCTACTGTGTTCATTAATGCACTCACTCGCGTGCCGCTGTTGTACTACTCTCAGCCGTACTCATAGAAGTTATTTTGACTTAGTAAAGTAACGTAAAGAAACAGCGTTCGTGTAAACAGCGAACACTGCTGGGCAAAGGCCTCCTCCGTAAAGAGAGTATTAGGGCATAGTCCACCCACACAAACCCACTGCGGATTGGCGGACTTCACATATATCCAAAATATTTTTTTTTAATTTATAAAATATGTAGCCTTCACCGCCGAGTACGTGATAAGACAGCATTTAAAATTAACAGTTTCATTGTTGCCGGCACCGGGGATTGTACTCATGTTGTTCAAGTATATTGAATTAAAAGCGAGCGGTCGGACAATGAGCTATCACGGCTCATCTTCACTTAACTGGAGTTTAATTCGTTTATGAGTCGACTGGAATCTCAATATTAAGTTCGAACAAATTTGATTCTAGCTAAATGCTAATTCGTCACTCTCAGTGCCTTTGGCATCCGCTGGGTCGACCTTTTAATTGGTTCGGTGCCGGCCGCGTGCGCGCCCCGCTAGGCCGCCAAGTGCCACCAACTTTGGTTCACTGGCGATAAGTGACTACTTGTGCAACTGCACGATAATCATGCCACATGAATGGTAAGTGATGAAGGCTCTTGACTAGGCGATGAATTTTAGCCAGTTTAAGAGCGCTTATAATATCCGTAAGTGAGTTTCATTTTACTTTATATTTGGTGTTCACGTAAATACAATAAATCTGTAGGCATAATAAGGTTTGTTCCCTAATATCCAGTTAAGTAAATTATAATTAATAGTTTAAAATACAGTGGCGTTATACATAATTATATTTAATAACAGTTGACCCAAAAGACGTTTGCCCGCCCAAATTTATATAAAACGTGCAGGCATAGTAATTGAGGAAAATAATATTTCTAAGTAATCATTGTACCTCTCTATTAACAGTCATGGTCATGGATGTAGAATTTTACCAAGAATATAGCTTAGAGGTACGTCCATGGAAAATTTCACAATATGCTACATGAAATAGATGAGTTTTGCCGACAGGGCACCGCCGAAGTGCTGGAAATTGTTGAGACCCAGACTCATCACACGTCCAACATTCAACTGATATTGTCTTCTTAAATAAAAGCTGCAATTCACTAATTTAACTTAACACTGAAAAATAATAATCTACCTATATGTTTATTTTATGTCAAAATCATGAACATGTTATCGTTAGACCATACGGTAACAATAATCTATTGCGTTGCGCCAATCATTGAGAAAAAACTGCACGCAACAAGCGTGGGATCGAACTTGGGGCGTGACCTGTTACGTGCTCTATTGTGTGGCTTCCAAGTTCATTGCTGTGCTCCTGTGGGAACAGCGTGCGGTCGAGCTG